TGGCCTAAGCTAGCTCCTAATCGTTCCGGATAAGTTGTTTCGTGTTTGTTTCGTAACCATCATTCTCTTTCAAAATAAAGTATGGACTTCACTATTGGAGTGTTGATCTTGTTTCGTAAATGGGTAAATATGTATAAGTAGTCACTTTTTTCGTAGTAGTAATAGTAAACGGAGGGGAAGGGTAGTGACTTGAAAAACGTGGCCAACTCAAGGCATGGCTCGATAAATCGAAATTGGAGTGGGAGTGTGCTCAATCGAATACTGTACTGTACCAAATCGGCAGACGACAATCGAAAATAGACCAATCAGAAACCAGATTAAGAATCAAGTAGCCAATCAAATCCACTCACTTTCTTGTTTAACATCGAAGTAGTGTGTGAATTGAATAAGTGTGAAACTGGACGATCTTACAAAAGTTAGTACAACCAATCAGATTGATACATTTGGCCATTAACCAGCACAAAACCAAGTCACCCAAATTAGGGGTAAATGGACAATAGTATGGACTTACGAAGCACGGGCGAAACAATATGCCGGATATAAACAGGGAACACGAAACAAACTGTTTCGTAAAGCCAAAATATGAAATTTTCTGTACTTGGATTATGTATAGTCCTGAAAGTATGTCGACATATTTAGGATTTGCGAAACAAGCTTATCGGGATAGATTTCAGACTGTTTCATTTCTGCATGAGTCAGAGAAAGCGGAAGCACGCAGAGCGGAACACACCAGCCGAGCCAGGCGATGACATCATTGCGAAAGCAGTACGAAGGGACACTGGCACGCTTAGCCCGTTGGCTAGAAAAGGAGCACCCTGAGTGCATTCGACATGGCGAGATCGTGCTGCCAATCAATGTGTCTTTGTGCAAGGTGTTTCTCACGTACTCGTCATACAAGCGAAATCGTGCCATCGTGGAACTGGTACCTCAACGGTTCAACTCCAATGCTGCCATCAGGGCGTTCTAGTGCCATCAAGTACTTGTACACTGAGCGATCCCAAACGTTAGATCACGAACTCGAAACCATGATGAATGGTACATTTCTATATATTTGATAACGGCTTGATCAATTGAATAGAGTTCAGCGCTGGATACAAGCGCAAAATTGCCCAACTGCGATCAACTGGGCAGCATCGGTTGACCGAGGGCAAGTCGCCGATATTTGTCTCGGGTATAAATGGATTTATTTATTATTATTTTATCTAGAATTAGGCTATCGCTACTTGGCACTTCATGCAATGCAATCTACGAAAGATTGCAACTTGGCCATGACGGCGCATGCGTTCCTTGTGTTGTGCTGGAATTTAATGGCGCGTTCAATCACAACAGCATCAATTCGATTGGAGCATGTGACATGGAGTGGTATTAATTATGTAGATTGATTCTTTCATACTTTTGTGGAGGCGACGCTTTGGTCATTGATTTTGGACTGGCGAAAAATGACCAAGCAGGTGAAATGTGCTATCCTCGGCATGTATATGCCAATCCAACAAGCCCCGAGATCTGTCCAATTTTGAGGTACCGGTACCGGTAGTCGCATTTAATGCATCCATTTTTCTTTTACATATATGTATTGTACATCACACAGCTTGGTGATCCTTCTCTTTGCCCGGCCGCCACAAAACGTGGCAGAAGCAACTCTTTTGTTTGGCCCAAATGCAAGGATCGGTTCTCGACATGGCTGTCAACGACGTGTAACCTCTGCCGGGAAGACATCCTTGCTCTGGGTTTGTCCGTCTCTGAGCTGGGCAGTCATTCGTTCCGAAAGGGTGTCGCCACAGAGCTGGCCAACTGCCCCGGGGGACCACAGGCTGTTTCGATCTGGCTCCGAGCTGGATGAAGTCTGGGAAATGTGCAGAGTCGATACATTTTTCAGAGAGCTGGTGGAGATCAATTTGTTGGACGTGCTGCATCAGATGTGTGATTTATCATAGATATTTATTTATTATATATATGTTGGTAGGGCTAAATGTCAAAGACGCATCGTTTCACTGCCGCCGCACTTCCGCGGGGTGGTTTTGTCGTCGGTGCAATGGGACTCAATTTTTCCCGGGTTTTCCACGTATATCCGGCGAAATTCTGTTGTGCAGTCCCATTCCTCTTGGCATCGTTGGCATACCAATGTGATTGGATCGGGTCCATATTGGCGCCAAATCACCCCCTTTTGTTGTCGCACGTTTGGACAAGTGGCATGCTTCCACAACTTTCGCCGCAGGTGCTGTCCGGGGTCCTCGAAAACGCAACGTCGCGATTAGTTGCAACTGGTATCCCTCCGTACATTCCACTTTTGATGCAAGAGGATGCCATGCAGTCTACCGTTGAAACCATGCAAAAATCTATTTTGCAAAAAATAGACAATATCCCAGCAAAGATTACCCGTCAACTGCAACGATCCCACGAGCAGCCTATTACCATGGCGGCATTGAGTGCGACATTAGAAGTATTCAGTGAAACAATGTTGCAAAAGATAGGATTATTAACCTAAAAGTCGACGGCAAGTCTCGAGCCCACGACGGCCAATGCACCTGCTGCCACCCCAGTCCCCTGGTGGACCCTGCAAACAAACCTTTCCTTCTCCAAGTTGACGTGCCCGAAGGGAAAGGTGTAAGACTTGTGGAACCTATGGTGGGATGGAAATCAAATCGTTGGAGCAGCACCGTTTCGCACATGTACTGTACCTCGAAAGACTTCGCGATTCGGGCAGACTAAGCGAACTTCTCCAAGGCCAAGAAAGTCATGTTGGCGCTGCTGGAAACATCCCTCCCGAAGTGCGTTCTTCCATGAAAGCCTTGTGGGATTGTGCCATCGACACCTCGGCACGCGAGATGCAATCGCTGTGGGCAAACGTCGTCTTAGAGAGATGAGCTACCATTCCATGTATGACATTATAAACAAGTAATGAAGGGTTGACGTACACTTGTTGTCTCTGTTTGATGCACGCAGTCCATGATCAGGTGTCCTTGGTGCTCCAAGTTCGCGATGCAAAATTTGAAAGTGCTAAAACTCTCAATCTTTATCATTGCAAAGGTATCGATTTCTCCAGTATTTTGTGTTTCGTAAAGTGTTTCGTAAAGGGGTTATTATCAGACAATATATTGACCCTCCTACTAGATGGAAACTCAAAATGAGAAACCGAACCATCGTTCTTACAGAAGGCTTAGCGTAGGTATAACGAAGGTTAATTCAATTATGTGTGGCCGTAGTAGGCATTACTGAAGAGTCACGACCTACTGCTGACATTCAATG